TTTTGAGAGAGAGAGAGAGAGAGAGAGAGAGAGAGAGAGAGAGCAAGTTGGGGAGGAGCAGAGAGAGAGGAAGACACAGAATCTGAAGCAGACTCCAGGCTCTGAGCTGTCAGCACAGAGCCTGATGTGGGGCTCAGAAACCATGAGATCATGACCTGAGCCAAAGTCAGACACTTAACCAACTGAGACACCCAGGTGCTCCACAGTCTTTGAATTAATGTCTGTTTTGTCTTATATAAGTATTGTTCTGGCTTTCTTTTGACACTAATTTGCACGATAGAAGTTCCTTTATCCCCTCGCTTTCAATCTACAGATGTCTTTAGTTCTAAAATGAGTCTCTGATAGGCAATATATACATGAGTTTTGTTTTGCCTTTTTTTTTTCATCCTGTCACCTTATGTCTTTTGATTGGAGCATTTAGTCCACTTATATTTAATGTTATTATTGATAGCTATGTATTTATTGCCATTTTATTATTTGTTTTGTGGTTTCTGAAGGTTTTCTCTGATCCTTTCTTCTCTTTCACTTTCATTGCTTTCTGGTTTTCTTTAGTGATAAATTTGGATTTTTTTCTCTTTATTCTTTGTATATTTATTAGTGGTTTTTAATATATGGTTACCATTAGGTTTGTATACAACATCTTTTGCATATTGCAGTGTATATAAAGTCGTTTAAGTTTGAACCCATTCTTTACTCCTCTCCTCCTCATGTTTTATGTATACGGTGTCATATTTTGCATCATTTCATTTTGTGAGTTCCTTGACTGACTTTTTACAGAAATATTCATTTTTACTGCTTGTGTGTTTCCTACCTTCATTCTGTCACTTTTGGTCTTTCCTTTCCACTCAAAGAATCCCCTTTAAAATTTCTTGCAGGGCTGGTTTAGTGTTCATGAACTCCTGTAGTTTTTGTTTTTCTGGGAAACTATCTCCCCTTATATTCTGAATGATAGCTTTGCTGGATAGAGTATCCTTGGCTGCAGGTTTTTCCAATTCAGCATTTTGTATATATCATGCCACTACTTTCTGGCTTGGAAAGTTTCTGCTGAGAAATCCACTGATAGCCTTATGGAGTTCCTTTGTACATAAATCTCTTCTTTGGTCTTGCTTCTTTTAATATTTTTTTCTTTATCACTATCTTTTGCTATTTTCATTATAATATGTCTTGATGTAGATCTACTTTTGTTGATTTTGTTGGGGGTTCTCTGTGCTTCTTGGATGTGGATATCTGTTTCCTTCTCCAGATTAGTGAATGGTTAGCTATTACTTCTTCAAATAAGTTCTCTGCCCCCCTTTTCTCTCCTTTTTCTGAGACTCCTATAATATGAATGTTTTACATTTGATAGAGTCACTGAGTTCTCTAAATCTATTCTCATTTTGCATTTTTTTCTCTTTTGTTCAGCTTGATTACTTTCCATTACTTTGCTTCTGTGTCATTAATTTGTTCCTCTTCTTCTTCCAGCCTGCTGTTCATTCCATCAAGTGTGTTTCTCAGTTTGTCATCGAACACTTTATCTCTCTGCTATGTTATTTCTTGTCTTTGTGCTAATGGTCTCACTAATGTCCTCCACTCTTCTCAAGTCCAGTGAGTATCCTTATCATTATTGCTTTAAATTCTCCATCAAGCATGTTATTTATATCTGTATTGCTCAGAAATCCACGTGTAGCTTTGTCCCATTCTTTAATTTGGGACAAATTCTTCTGTATTCTCATTTTGTCTAAGTCTTTCTGTTTCTCTGTGTTAGGAAAGTCACCTACCTCTCCTGTTCTTGAGTGTAATGGCTTTGTGAATAAGAGGTCCTGTAATGCCTTGTATTGTAGTGTCCCCTATTCCTCAGGGCCTGACACTTCTGGGAGTGTCTCCAATGTGTGCTGTGTGTGCTTTGTTTTTGTGTCGTGGCTGCTTTATCCTTTTGACCAGTCATATGCAGAGGCTCTCTTTGCCTGTTTTGGGCAGTGTTTAATATCTTGCCTGAGTGTGGCATTCTGGTCTGCTTCTGAAATGAGACCTGTCACTACTGCCACTGGAACTGAGTCCTCACAAAACTCATGGGTCAGGAGATGCAATGTTCATAGGGTTTGAGCCAGCCTTCTGGAGAAGGGGGTCCACCATGCTGAGACTGAGGCAAGTGTGACTGTGAAGGGCAGTTATACTGGAGCACAGAGGGGCAGGGCTTGGTATAAGCAATTTAGGTAGTGAGTGTCGGCCCTCTGCTGGTTCCCACAGGTGGCCCTGCTTATATTGAGGGACAGGGGAGAGAAATGGTGCCTTCTAGTTCCTTTGTTCCCCGAGGGGTTTCTCTGTGCAAACTGCTTCTCTGGGACATGCTCTGAGATGAGCAACTAACCTCCCCACTCTGTACCCCAGACTGTCTTCAGATAGCTGTTTACAAGTTGTATATCCATGGGCTGTGTGCCCTGCCTTCTCTCCAAGAGCATCTCCAATGTCCCCTGGGTTCTCCCAGAGCCACGCATGCTGACATTTAAAACTCCAGGCTTTAAGTCTTACTGGTTGCAAGAACTCATGAAATTTGGGCCCCTCACTTTCCAAGTCAATTGCTATGGGATTCTTTTTCCCCATGCACTCCCCTGTGTGCTAGTCTGTTTCTGGCTCTTCTCCATGACCACAGCTCCCTCCCCTCTGCTGCAGCCTTGATCCATTTCTCTTCCAAGCTGTGTTTCTGCACTTCCTACCTTTTTCAATGTGGCCTCTTCTCTACCCTTTATTTATGGAGTTTGTTCTGCCAGTCTTCAGATGGACTTTTGGGGTATCTAAGGTTATATGAAAGTTATCTAGTTGTATTTGTCAGACTAGGTAAGCCTATGGTCCTCCTAGTTTGCCACCATCTTCCCTCTATCACTCGGAATGTGTTTTTATAAGTAGCTTGGATAAGTTTACAATTAGAAAATATTTTGAGGGGCGCCTGTATGGCTCAGTTGATTAAGCACCTGACTCTTGATTTAGGCTCAGGTCATGATCTCATATTTTGTGGAATCAAGTCCTGTGTTGGGCTTTGCGCTGACAGTGCATAGCCTTCCTGGGATTCTCTCTCTCCCTCTGTCTCTGCCTTCCCTCCCCCCACCCCCCAACTCTCAAATTAAAAAGAGAAAGAAAGAAAGAAAGAAAGAAAGAAAGAAAGAAAGAAAGAGAGAAAAAATTTGAAATGACCACTTTAATCAATTTCTTTTGAATGTAAAGTATCTTAGCTGGGTTTCTAACAAGAGTTATGTGGCTAAAAATTCACAGTGGGAAGCAAAAGCAAGCACACTATGATGATGCCTTCTATTATGTATGGTTGATTGATAGAAGACTATTGTAATCTTAATCAGACAAACTGATGACCAGAATGGTTTTTCAGCGGAATATTGAAGAGCCTGACTTATTTTTTTTGCTAGCATGAAAATCAAACCTACCTAAAAAGAAACTGTGCTGGAATGCCTTGGTTAGAGCTGAAGCTTTTTTCAAAAAAAGCAATTGTACTTAAATAAGCACTTACTTGAAATTATAGAATTACTCACCATAACCTTGGAAGACTTTGGCCTGGAATATTTTGGGGGCCTGATTTTAATGTGGCTACTGGACCATTTTTAATATTTAATTGCAAAAAATTGTGCAATTTAGTAGGAGAAACTGGAGTAGGGTTTGAGAAGGTAGACAGCAGGCTGAAGATGCTACAGCTTTGGGAAACAAGGGAGCTCGCCCCTGTGATAATATATAAATGACACATTGGTTGCCTCCTTTGGCTTCTATATGGCTTCTTTTGCCTCACCACCCAGAGAAAAATATAAAGAATTTAGAGGAAGGGATGGGGTGAGGAGCACAGAAATAGCAATCTCAATCTGTGACTAGTACATTTACAATTTTTCTTAGGATTTTGCCTGCTGCCTAATATGACAGGAAGGTCACTTGACAGAGTCACTTTGAGAAGTAAGACGGATGATACTGTGAACAACTAAGAGTGTTAATCAACCACAGTTATAGGGTTGCCTATGAATAGGTACTTCAGTGATACTCATTTATTCATTCATTATTTCACCTGTTGCTCATTAGTCAGTCACCATATGTTAAATGTGCTAGACAATGGGGGCATGCTAGTGTACAAGGTAGACATCATCTTTGACCTCTTAAAATTATATTCTTCTAAGGCAGAAGGAAATAGAAGAAGATGGATGAAAAGGTTATTCAGCTGGATGATAATTTACTGCTATCATCTACATTCTGAACATTAATCATTTTTTTTCTGCAATGCTTTTAGCAAATCAAAAATGGCATCCGGTTCCTCTCTTGGTAAATGAGAAAAGGAATCTAAGGTGCTTGCCTTAGGTGTTTGCTGATACTCAAGAACCTCTTCTATGAATATAGCTAGAATATAAGATCCATGAGGATATGAGATACATGAGGACAAGTACTCTATTTTGTTGACTACTTTTGCCCAGTTTGAAAAGTGTCTACCATGTGGCAACACTTGATAAATTCTTGTTGAATGACAGTGCAGAGCTTGATAAAGTTAAGAATTAAGGTAAGTTTCTTGTTACAGAAGCAAGTGAAATGAGGAGAGGAATAATGGTGTTAACATTTAGATCCTAACTTGTTAGAGCTTGATAGTGTCAGATCTTTATAAAAATATTTTTTATAAAAACTATTTTTGGAAAAATAACATCATAAACAATGAATGCTTGGCTCTTATGATACACTTATCATCTTAAAACAAATAAATTATAGCCCCCCCAAAACCAATTCTAGTCATGATGAAGAACTTTTATGAATTCCTATTTTGAAGGAGGTCAAGCAAGTTACACAAGTTTCTTCTGGCAGCAGGATAGTTTACAGGATTCAAATTATCTGATAATAGATTCTTTACTTAAAAAGTTCTATTAAAAAATTCTAAAAGGGAGACAACTTTTAGAAGTTTTATAGAGTTACACCAGAGTGAGCTCTGAGCTTCCCTGGATAAAATTCCTTACATACTTTCCTCTCTAGATGCAGAATAGATGGCTAGGGGAAATGACTATATTCAATGGATTTTGTTTATCAGAGACCATAGATTGTAGTTTATGGGTCTTTTCATCGAAGTTGTCAATGTTCTGTGTATAACATTGTTACAGCAGTTTCCTGAACGGTTCTTTACAATTAAGTTGTCTTGATCTCTGAGGGACTGCAGTTGGAAGAGCAGAGAAGGTAATTTGGCTTTCGATCACCACAGTTTTCCAAATGGGTAATTCTTAGAATGGGATTGTCAATGATTCTGGTTGACTTCAGTTAATATTAGACTCTTCATTAGGGTTGACAGGATCTGCTTTGGGAACAGGGTAAGAAAGTCTATGGGGAGACAATCTGAATAAAAAAGGAATCCAATATTCTCTGTTTGGCATATGGATGGTTTCCAAAACCTATCCCTTTTATGCCTTATCCCTGTTAAAAGATTATAGTTAATAAGCACTAATAAGAAGATAAGCAGTTTAAAAGGGTAGAAATTGATATCAGCAAAAAATTTACCAAAATATACCAAAATGATAAAATAGTAAAATAATTGTTGTTGATTGAGTGAAAAAGACCAATATAATAAATATGATCAGCTTCGAAATCATGAGAAAGAATAAAATGATTAGCCCAAGCAGGTAGGGGCAAGTTTCCTGGGGCTAAGGTGGCTGCTTAACAGGTCTCTAGAGTCTAGGTTTGCCTGTCAGGGGTCAGCATAGACATTACCAACTATAATAAAGTTTGGGCTAATGAGCAAACAGCAGCTTTAGTTGCTTTCCTTAGAGCTTTAAGCCTTAAGAACCAATGCTTAGCTCAGCAGTGTCAGTATGCCTTTTAAAAAGTTGCCATTTGCGTAAGTTGAATCTGACATTTTATGTGTTTTATAGCAGACCATAAATACTTTTAACTTTATAAATAATAAAACTATGAATGGGATAAATACTCAATAGCATTATTAATGGGTTTTCAACCTAGGGACCATGAGTGACAACTTGCCTATAAAGCAGTTATATATAGTTTTTGTTTAGTTTAAACTGTGGTTCTATTTGTTTACACATTAAATTTGCCAACCTGAAAATTATAAAATTTTTATTATTTCCTCTTAATTTATGAAAAAAATTGCTGAGCTTACATTTAAGTCAACATTACCTGGAATCAGTAGAATAGGAATTGCATTTCTTCATTCCTCTTTGGGAATATTTGCCACCTGGCACTGATATAATGAATTCATATACAATTCATAGACTGGGGATTGGACGAACTTATGAAGCCCGTTATTCAATACTCTATGAAGAAACTGAGGTCTGACAAGGTGAGTAGGCAACAATAATTTGATTACATGTTTCCTTTTGTCTTTTAGCTATAATGGGTTGTGAGAGGGAGATAAGAACTTTAACAACAACTCCTTGAGTTTTTTTAATATCCAAGAAAGATCTTCATCGTATTTCTGATAATGAGAATAAGAGGCTCTATTCATAAATAAGTGAGATTTTAACCAAATGTATTCTAAAATATTTTCTGTTTATACTGTGTGAGCTAAAAGGCAGTGAAAAATAATTGTAAATTATTTAAACTTTCTAAAATGTAGAATAAAATCTACCATATAACCTTTCTTGTATATTTACATTATTTTCTCAACTCTCCATAACTCCAAAAATCCAAATATGGTTTATATTTTACAAGTATTTCTTATGTTACATGTTATGAATATTTGAATTTTTTGGTTTGATACCTGCTCATTTCAGATACTGTACATTTTTTTGGAAGGTACTTTAAGCACTCAAAATTTTTTTTAACAGCCTAAAATTTAAAAAAATTGTACATATAAAATTATAAACATGTAAGTATATATACATTATATATACATATTATTTTTGTATTCTTTATATATAGCACAGTTGAATTATTTTCAGTATATTTGTTTGAATTACTTTTTATATATTTTATATAAATATTTTAATAAATATATAAATAATATATAAATATTATATATAATAAATTTTATTATTGTATAATATTATATATTATTTAATATTAATAATTATATATGTTATTTAATATTATATATAATAAATATATAAATAATATATAAATACTATATATAATATATAAATATTTTATATATATATATTTTAAAAGCTGTATTATTTGGATCAACTTCCATCTAATCGGAAATGAATGTATACATTAGTCAATTTGGATCAATTTCCTTTGGGCTGTGCTAGGCGCTATACAGGACTTCATGATTTCTGTTTGCTTTTAAGAATAGTAGTAGTAAGGGGCGCCTGGGTGGCGCAGTCGGTTAAGCGTCCGACTTCAGCCAGGTCACGATCTCGCGGTCCGTGAGTTCGAGCCCCGCGTCAGGCTCTGGGCTGATGGCTCGGAGCCTGGAGCCTGTTTCCGATTCTGTGTCTCCCTCTCTCTCTGCCCCTCCCCCGTTCATGCTCTGTCTCTCTCTGTCCCCCCCCCCCAAAAAAAAAAAAAATGTTGAAAAAGAATAGTAGTAGTAACATTGCTGCTGGTAGTAGAAGCTTGTGTGCTTTGATAATCTATAGATAAAACTAATAAGACTTTTGTATGAATGAAAGTAATTAATATACAGTACTCTGTATGAATTGAGTCTGTGTATTTTTTAATAATCACAGACTCCTAGAAATTATCAATAGGACATGACAGATTATCTTTATTTTTACATGGTGAACCTTAGATTTGGACCATCTTGACATGTTTTAAATGTGAATTCAACAACCTGCTCATACAAACTCTTAGATGTGATTTGAATTAAGAAAAACATGCCATGTATATATATATGTATATGTAAAACATTAGCATAGAATGGTTTCTCACTCTTTTTTCAAAAAGTTTATTTATGTATTTTGAGAGAGAGAGAAGAGACTGTGTGCACATGCTGGGGATGGGCAGAGATCCCAAACAGGCTCTGCACTGTTAGCATAGAGCCTGATAAGGGCCTTGATCTCACAAACCTGTGAGATTATGACCTGAACTGAAATCAAGAGTTGGACACTTAACAGACTGAGCCACCCAAGCACCCCTGGTTTCTCACTCTTCAATGAATATTTTAGCAAGGTCTGTATACTTGTGCACAAGAAAAATTGCATATGTATGTAAAAAAATTATATAATACATAATGTTTATATAAATATAATTTAAAAATAACATCTTAATGCACAATTTCCAGACACATACATAATATGATTTTCTTTTAAAATTTCATTGGTTTTAATGAATAAATAGAAACACCGTTGTGTATTCAATACTTAAAAGTTGATTTTTTTAATTTCAGTGTGACCTGAAGCCATTTCCTTGTGTATTTTAAACCTTTCAATTTGAAGTGGATTATGAGAGACAACTGGGAGCATCCAGACTCAAGAGCTGTGTGGAGGGATCTTTGCTGTGATCCCTCTGACAACACAGGTAATCACTCATAAAGAAAACCACCTCACAAATAGAACTCACCTTTTGGCCTCAGTTGGATAGCTGAAGTAAAAATCTTTGTCTGGTACCACTGTAAATGTTCCAACAATATGCCCAAAATAAATCATTTAATTGAACATGACTTTTACTCTTTATGTTTTACTATATGATTCTTTTTAATGAATGGCAAGAGAAAATAATTGTTGGGGTGCTTATTCCCTATCAACTCAGGCTTCCTGGAAAGTTTTCTGTTCCCTGAAATAGATCTTTGGAAAATAAGAAAAAAGAATGCACTGTTTCTGTGAAAATTCCAGTGATACGTTGCATAGTGCTGAGACCTGATGTAGAAAAATGAGCTGCTGCAAATTTTGCCCTAGGGACATGTCAGTACTGTGCAAATGCATGGAGATGAACATTATAACTTGTACTCAATATTACACTTTAACATATTATCTAAATCCTAAATATGGCAATTTTCTTGGTAGGGATGGTATACAGGTTGGCTGTCAGAATAAATGCTCACTTAACCTGAAAGACCTTGCACAATACTGGTTTAGGGGACTGGAGTAAGTCCAATAGGTATTATATGATTATGTTATTGGGCACTTGTAGGATTCAGGAATATCATGTATGTTAAAGATATATCTAGACTTCTTTCTTCAGCTGCCAAAACTTTAACTGACTTTCTGAGGAGCCAGTTTATTTATGGTGGCAATAATAGTTGAGTTTTGAGGCTATTAATTTAAAGATAGAGTATTTCTTTTGACATCAGCCTTTGAATTGAAAAACAGGATAATAGCACTAAACAGTAGCCATGCATAATTATTGGGCAAAGATTCTTATAGTGCCCTAGAAAGAAATGCAATCTGATTCTGAAAAATTTGTTCTCGTCTGCCTCTCTGTAAACAGTTTAGATTATTTATAAATTGAATCCTTTTTTAGTTAAAACGTGTCCTAAATAACACAGTGTACTTCTAATCTTGTGGCAACATCATAATCGTTCTGGGGATTGAAAAACTAAATATTCTTAACAAAATAAATAAGCAATGACAAGTGGCAAACTAACACACAAAAACCTTAAAAGAATTTATTGGATAACAACTTCACTTGGACACTTATATTACACAGTCAAGTCCTGAAAGAATGAATAAGAAAAATAAATTCCATCATTTCTGAGCACTTATAGTAAGCCAGTTCTGCTATAAATCTTAAAATTACCAACACTTTGGATGGAAGTGTGAAAACATACTATAACTATGTGGTGCAGTGAAATTTAAATGTGAAATCATTCCCTCTAGACTACCAGCCATCCTAGCTGGAATGAAAACAGCATATTCTTATGTTCTGATTCATCAAAGTCTAGTTTTCAGGCATTTTGATGATTAAATCTGTCTGGTGAAAGGCCATCAATTTCAGGCAGAGGTTTCCCTGTATGGCTGCCTTGTCATATACTTCTGTAAATGGGAGTTTGGGAACTTTAAATGAAAGAGTATGTAAAGTTTTCTTTGCTGAGTGTTATTAACTGAGGGACTCTGGATTAATTTAACAGCCAGGTCTGTTCTTTCAGCCATAAGCCATGCTGTCAGAGAAACTTAATTACACTTTAAGTGGGATGCAAATGAGTTGTGACACTACATCATTTCACATGAAAGGTTCATTACTTACATTAACTTGCACAATGCTTGCTCCCAAACCTAGACCTCATTACAATATTCCTGGGATTTTTTTTTAAAACGTAGCTAAATGCAAGTAGGGTTTTAACTTTTAATAGCCTGTTTCTTTCTTAATGTTTAAGACTACAAATGTTCACTTTATTAAATGATTATGAATTGAACTACTGGATACATGATTGTATTAAGACTGGCTGGAAAAAAATGTTCTACCATGTTCTACTCAATATGTATATGTTCTGCTCAATAGCACATTCTTAGTACCAATTTTTTTTTTTTAAAGTAACTTTATATGAATAACTTCTTTAGCATTGCTATCTATGGCTTGAAACAGGAAATTTAACAAGCTTTAGAATCAAAAGCTTAAGGAATCTTATTCCGGGCTTAATAGATTTTTTTTTTTTTCTGAGCATGAGTTGGGTGGGAAATATAGAAATGTAAACACATATAATGCAATTCATATTGATAGCTCACAACCTTGAGTGATAAGGATAAATCAGTCATGACTAACACCTAACAAAGTGTTAAAAAAAGTAAAAAATATACATATATTTGGTCCCACTTTATCTTTTTTATTTTTTTTAACGTTTATTTATTTTTGAGAAGGGGGAGACAGAGCATGAGTGGGGGAGGAGAGAGAACGAGGGAGACACAGAATCTGAAACAGGCTCCAGGGTCTGAGCTGTCAGCACGGAGCCGACACGGGGCTCGAACTCACGGACTAGGAGATCATGACCTGAGTTGAAATCGGACACCTAACTGATTAAGCCACCCAGGAGCCTCTATTTGGTCCCACTTTAAAGAAAAAGTTTGTGGTCCTGGAATTCTAAGGGGAGAAAGTGTTTATCTCTCTATTCTCTCATATGGTGATTTGAGAGAGTTTTAGGGAAAATTAGTTGTTTCTTCTTCATGTAATCAGTCACCATAATCAATCGAGTGTTTGATGCTTGTTCTCAAGGATATAGATAAAAGGAAAAACAAAAACAGTGAACTTTCATTTGACATTTATTAAACACTTTTTTTCTATTAGCTCATTTAATACACCCAAAAACCCTATGAGGCAGGTACTCTATCCCCATTTTACAAATGACAAAACTGAGACAGAGAGTGGTTAATCTTGCCCAAAGTTGCATGAGTGTGAGAGCCAAGATTCAAGCAAAGTCAGTCTATTTTCAAAGCCCATGCTTTTAACCACTATGGCATGCTGCCCAAGTTTTACAAGGCATTTTTGTATTTATTAAATATAACAAAGTTTTTTTAAATGAGCGAATGGTGAGATCCAAGGAAATCATAGTGCAGAAGATATTTATTCTGTAATTTGAGGCACATGATGTTTTAGTGCAATCATATTATCTCTTTTAATTCAAATAAGCTCTTAGAGATTAGAGTCAAAGGTTTATTGTATTATAATATGTATATATATAAATACCAACCACTAGATGCTCTTTTTTTAAAAATTTTTTAATGTTTATTTATTATTGAGAGACAGAGAGACACAGAGCATGAGCAGGGGAGGGGCCAAGAGATGGAGAGACACAGAATCTGAAGCAGGCTCCAGGCTCTGAGCTGTCAGCACAGAGCCCGTCGCGGGGCTCGAACTTGACGCGGGGCTCGAACTTACAAACTGCGAGACCATGAGCTGAGCTGAAGTCAGACACTTAACCGACTGAGCCATCCAGGCGCCCCCACTAGATGCTCTTTTAAGTCATAAGTCTTTTTATTGTCCAATGTGTAGCCCATGATATTTATTAAAAATAGACCTTGATATCAAATAAGAATAAGTTTGGAAAGGTGAAATATATTCTTCAATTGCAAAATTAGAGAATACGTTGAAATCACATAATGCACTGAGCTGCTCTGCTACAATTTAATATACTTGAATTGTAGTTTATTAACTAATACTTTGGTGTTCGAATTAATTATTTAAATCCAAATTTACTTCCTCATATAATAACATGAAGAAATATCTTTTAAATTTTAGGAAATACTCTCTTAAATTGAGCATAACATGTATGCAATGAAATTTATATTCCTTATGTTGCCAATCATCAATTCATTGCCACTCAAACCCATTCTTCACTGCCTGCTCTGTGATATGGAGCTGGATTCTGTAATCACTTATTTTAAACAAGGGTAGTATTAAGCGAAGACAATAGAGGGCAGTGGAGAGACACTGCAGGAGGAAAGTGTTTAGTGTTTTAGTGTTTTCTGTATGTCTTACTTGCTTCTACTGCATCCTGTAATCATTTCTCATTTTCAGGAAGCATAGTGTTAAGCTAAGTGATTACCTCACTGCCAGCACAAATGCTATGCCTTCTGACTGAAATATACATAAAAATGTATATGAAGTTGGTAAAGAATATTAGCATATTAGAGGTAGAAGAAACCTTACAAGTCATTTAGTCTAAACCTTCCTTTTTTGTAGGAATCCTGAGGGGTTAATTCCAGGTATTGTCACAAGTTTTATATAGCATGTAACACTTTTAAATCTTCTCTTTCAGGGTTTATATTTAAAAAATAAATAATGATGTTATTTATAATTTTATAAAGCTATCAATTTGAATTGCAAAGGAGCTTTTATTCACTTGAAACTCAATAGGTATTTGTTGATTTTCTATAAATTCTCAAAGTGTTTTATGGAATATAAGAATAAAAAAGATACTTCTATTTTCTGAGGTAAACCAAAATTTAAAACCCTGATGAAGAAATAAACCATGATAGAATATAAGGATCACAAGAGTAATGCAGAAAGAGACTGGAGATCATATTTGGGGCAGTAAAGAGGGCTTTCATGAAGATGACAGACCTATAAGTAGGGCCTTGAAACATGCATAGGTTTGAGAGTTGGATTTGAGGAGTGGGGAATAAGAATTTATGGATAGTTTAAGGCATAGCAACAGCTCAGAGGCAGAAAAATGTTTCACGTATGGATGGAAGATGCCCTCCAGGTTTTTTTCTTAATTGTGGCATAGGCTAGGATTAGGGGAATAGTGGGAAAACTTGGCAAAATATCTGAACTGACACTGAATTTTTATAAATCCTGACACAGCATCCCAATACAAATCAAGAAAATGTAAGATCAGTTGAGTAAATTAGTTAATCATAATTTATATTCGTAATTAATAAATTATGTGAGTTAAATAATAGAGCTTTGAAAGCAACCAAATTCTTTATCTTTGGCTTCTAAAATAAGAGCTTTAAAAAGAGCTAAGAAAGTACTAAACTCATTTTGAATGTGACATTAGTATAAGGATTTCTCACTGAATCATATGTGACAGATTTTGGTTTCATTTTTAGTAATCCTAAAATTATCTTCTTTATCATTGAATAGTAAACATAATATCCAATATTGACTCATATTAAAACAACTTAAAGAGCTTTGTTTCTGGATAGTGGGGATTATATAACCAGAATAGCATCTAGTTTTTAAAAATCTAGAAATACTAGATAAAACACAACCATTCATTTAAAT